AAGAGTGTATCCATGTTTGGTATAGTGGTTAAGAGTGGTTTGATTCCCCCACTCCTCCACATGCAGCTGCTGGTGTGACCTTGGGTCAGTCACAAGTTCTCTCAGAGCAGTTTCTGTCAGAGCTCTCTCAGCCCCACCTCCCTCACAGGGTGTCTGCTGTGGGGAGGGGAAGGGAAAGGAGATTGTAAGCTGCTCTGAGACTCCTTTGGGTAGTGAAGGGCAGGGGGTATCAATCCAATCTCTTCTTCTTCCTCGTGTTGGTTTTCAATAGAACAAGGTTCAAGTCCAGTCGCACCGTAAAGACCAACAAGATTTCCAGGGCATAAGCTTTCAAGAGTTAAAACTCCGTTCAACAGGTATCTGACAAAGGGAGCTTATCTGATGAAGAGAGACGGTTTGGTGTAGTGGTTAGGAGCGCGGACTCTAATCTGGAAGAACCGGGTTAGCAGTTCGAAAGCAAGAAATTGCAAGTAGATAAATAGGGACCACTTCGGTGGGAAGGTAACAGCATTCCGTGCGCCTTGGTGTTTAATCATGCCGGCCACATGACCACGGAAACGTCTTCGGACAGCACTGGCTCTTCGGCTTGGAAACGGAGATGAGCACCGCAACCCGCCAGCCGGATTCGGCTGGCTTTCGAGAAAGGGAAACTTTACCTTTACCAGTAAATTATGTTGAGATGTGCTGTTTGTGTGTGTATATGTGTGTCTCATGAGAAAGAGTGTATCTGGTATAGTGGTTAAGAGTGGTTTGATTCCCCACTCCTCCACATGCAGCTGCTGGTACGACCCTGGGTCAGTCACAAGTTCCCTCAGAGCAGTTCTCCCAGAGCTCTCTCAGCCCCACCTACCTCACAGGGTGTCTGTGGTGGGGACAGGAAGGGAAGGCGGTTGTAAGCCACTCTGAGAGTCCGAGTGAAGGGCGGGGTATAAATCCAATCTCTTCTTCCTCTTGAAAGCTTCTGCCCTGAAAATCGCGTTGGTCTCTAAGGTGCCGCTGGACTCAAGTCTTGCGGCTTTCTTTTTCGGTTCCTGAGGGCTAGAAACTTGATTTGTTTTCGCTCCCGGTAACGCTCCCTCTTTCCTGCTCCCTCCAGATCTTTCCAAAAGACGGCTGGCAGGTGGCCCTGAGTGCTGGGATGACCAGCAGCTGCACCATCGCGATCGCCATGACCCCCTTTGACGTGGCCAGCACCCGCCTCTACAACCAGCCTGTGGGGCCCGAGGGTCAGGTGAGCACAGAGGAAGGCCTGGGCTGTGTCTGGATAGGCTGGACGGGATGGAGATATCGCAGGGCTCTTTTTGTAGCAGACGTCCTTTGCATATTAGGCCACACACCCCTAATGTAGCCAATCCTCCAAGAGCTTATAGAGCTCTCCTTACAGGGGCTACTGTAAGCTCTTGGAGGATTGGCTACATTAGGGGTATGTCGCTTAATACACAAATGAGTACCTGCTACAAAAAGAGCCCTGAAAACCTTTTCCTCAGGTGAGAGACAGAACAGTGTAGTGGTTACAGTCCTGGACTAGCCCTGGATTTAAATCTTCATTTGGCCACAAAGCTCCCTGGGTAACATTGGGCCAGTCGTTTGTTCTCTGTCTGACCTACCTTACAGGGTTACTGGGAAGATAAAACTGAGGTGTGGTGTCAGGGCGGGGTAAAAACGGGTAGATAGAATTCGACCGGTCTTTGTGTCCCCTCCCAGTTCTTTGTGCCTTGCTTCCTCCCCCGTAGTGCTGTAGCTAAGCAAAGACCTCTGCCGATTTGAAATCTTTTTTACCAGAGCCTGACCGTTGAAACCGATTGTGTTGACATGCATCTCATCGTGCCAATTGGCCTGTGGTCACGGTTTCTTCTGAAAGTGCCCCCCACGGCTCCAGACTTAACATTTCTCTGTATGTCCTACTGCCCTGAAACATGCTGAGTTATAAACCTGGTCACGAGGGGACACCTTCACAAGAAAGTTTAAGCCAGCGATCCCCAGTGTGGGCAACTGTATGCCATGATCAGTGTTCTCTCTAAGCTGTGGAGTCTTGTGAGCAAAAATTCTACTTTGTGAGCTACTGGCATTAAAGCTGCGAGCAAGCGATTTGGCTGCTGCAGAAATTAGTTTGCTCTGGAGCCCCAATCCTTCCTGAGCTGAGACAAAAACGTGTGAGCCGGAGGCTAAAAAACTGTGAGCTAGCTCACACTAACTCAGCTTAGAGGGAACACTGGCCATGATACCCATCAACATTGTGTTTCCGGGCACCCGTTCATTGCTTCCCACAGCAAACAGCCACCTCTGCTTTTCCTCCACCTAACTGGAGAAAGAAAAGGAAAGGCTTCAGAAGATCCCAGAAGGGCCTGCAGGGAATGTCTTGTTTCGGAAAAAAAATCACATGACTTGGGATTAGGGCTGCCAAGTGGGGGCGAGTGGTGGGTAAACCCCCGCTTCGGAGGCCCGATTTCCACCGCCGCAGAATCGGGCCCCGGGGGGACCTCCGCCCCCCGAAGCTCAAAGTGGCTGCGTCACCATGCTACAAGCATGGACGGCTTCAAAAGGGAATTAGATAAGCATATGGAGCAGAGGTCCATCAGTGGCTATTAGCCACAAGGTATAGCTAGGGGCTCTGGGGCAAGTGATGCTCTGTCTTCTTGGTGCTTGGGGGGGGGGTCAACAGTGGGAGGGCTTCTAATGTCCTGGCCCCACTGCTGGACCTCCTGATGGCACTGGTATTTCTGGCCACTGTGTGACACAGAGTGTTGGACTGGATGGGCCTTTGGCCTGATCCAACATTGGCGTCTCTTATGTTCTTATGTTCTTAATCACGTTGGGGGCGTGGCCCCGATCGTCGGAGGGAAAGCTCTATGGCTTTCCCTCTGACGATCGGGGCCACTCCTTCAACGTGATCGACGTCGCGCGTCACTTCCGGTGACATGGTGGCGGCACGCGCGCACATCGAAGAACAGCTCCCGGAGCCCAGTGAGGCTCCCCCGCTGGTAAGAAAATTTGACTTGGCAACCCTACTTGTAATTGTCTCTCACGGCACACATTTTATGGTGGCACCCACTACCAGTTCTCAAAACTCTGTTAAGTGTCCACAAATTTGAAATGTTGTGGGGTTTGGGGGGTGGGGGGGACTGGCTTAAAACCATGGCTGTGGCTTAGTGGCAGAGCCTCTGCTTGGCAAGGAGAAAGCCGCAGGGTCCGACATCTGGACAAAAATTACTCTCAACGACGCTCCAGGACTGTTCCTCCCACCACCCTGGCCAGCTCTCGGGCCACTGTGCTCTTCTTAGGCTTGACGGGGCCCACTCCGTCTCCTTTCTGCTTTTCGGTGTCAGGGGCCAGGATCACAGTTTGGGTACTGGTTCCCGTCCCTGGCCTTCGTCTGCCATCACTCTCATGGTGCGACCGTCAAAGAGAGGGAGTTCTGACACCATGTCCGACTCCTGGAGAAAGTTACTCTCAACAACACTCTCCGGCAGTGATTTGTTTATTGAGAAATAAAGATGTTCCAGGCCAGATCAGTACCGTGTCAGAACTGAGGTTCTGGCGGGAGAATCCAAAGATATAGGCAGTTCAAGCGAAGTCCCTTCCTTATATATATAAATATATATATAAATGACTCTGTCTCTCCTTCTGCCGCAGGGCTTGATGTATAAGGGTCTTCTCGACTGCCTCGCTAAAATAATCCGCACAGAGGGCCTCCTCGGGATCTACAAGGGCCTGGGGGCCTCCTACTTCCGGATCGGGCCCCACACCATCCTCAGCCTGCTCTTCTGGGACCAGCTGCGCAACGCTTACGCCCGCTGGACGGACCAGCGGTGACGCCGAGGGTAGCTGGAAGTGCCAGAAGCCAGCATCACTTCCGTGGCTCCTCCCTGACCTAGAGAGACGCGGAGAGGACCACAGTAGCAAGGCTGGGCCTTTCGCTCGCTCTCCTCCTCCCTGCCGTGTATTCATCCGGGGCTGCAACAGAGCTGCCTCTGGTGTTCTCCATTGCATAGGGAAGGCCGTTGGTTCCTCACATCGCATCTCATGACGTGGCAGCTGGTTATTTCGTGACCTCTCTCTTATCTCGCTTCCCTACTTGGGAGAGGATCTTCTGCAAGATGTGCTGACCCAAAACAGGCAAACTCGCCAACTGTTATTTATTGCAACCAAAGTCACTTGCGACTCCCATGGTCACGGCCCTGCCCTCGCTGTGCTTTAAATCTACTCGGGAATCCCCTTCTACTAGGCCGGGCCTGGTCGACTTTGTAGCCTTCCGAGCTGAATGAAGCCAGCCAGCCAGCCAGTCACCCATTAGGTGCTTGGCAGTTGCCCATTCCTGTAATCCCAGATAGGCAGCAGGAGAAGGCCGGCTGAACTTCTTTAGAGCCACTGGATTGGATTGGATAGCTTACGTGGTGAGGAGGCTTGCCTCTGGCGTGGCCTCTCTGCTCCTAAAGTGCTTCAGTGGTGGCAAATTCATCCCGTTGGCCGTCAAGGACTGGTAGGCCTCAGGTGGGTAGCCATGTTGGTCTGAAGCAACAGAACAAAGTCTGAGTCCAGTGGCACCTTTAAGTTTAATTCTCGGTACAAGCATTCGTGTGCATGTACATGAAAGCTTATACCAGTTTGGTATAGTGGTTAGGATGGAGTGCAGATTCTAATCTGGGAGAACCAGGTTTGAGTCCCCACTCCCCCACACACAGCTGCTGGTGTGACCTTGGGTCAGTTACAAGTTCTCTCTGAGCTGTTCTCTCACGAGCAGTTGAGCTCTCTCAGCCCCGCTTACCTCACAGGGTGTCTGTTACGGGGAGGGGAAAAGAGATTGTAAGCTGCTCTGAGACTCCTTCGGGTAGTGAAGGGTGGGGTATAAATCCAATCCCTTCTTCTTCATAGACCCAGAACTAAACTTGGTTGGTCATAAAAATGCTACTGGACTCAGACTTTGCTCTGGCAGGCCTCAGTTGAACGTCTGTTAAGATCCCTGCACTACAAGAGTCCCACCCCTAGGTGGTGCTAGAGCATTAATACGACGGCACCTACCTGCGTGAAGAAGAGCATTTCAGAGGGAGGCCATGTTGGGTCTGCAATACAGCAGTTAAGATCGGAATTCAGTAGCACCACAGCGTGTCCAACAAGATTTTCAGGGCATGTGTTTTTTTGAGTCAAAGCTCCCTTGGTCAGCATCTAACTCAGGGATCTCCATTCTTTACAAAGGGAGCTTTGACCCTGACAATCTCGTTGGTCTCTGAAGGTGCTCCTGGGTTCCAATCCAGCCGCTCCCACCTGCAGCTGCCTCGTTTTTTCCCACCAGCAGTCCAGAGGCAGCTAAACTGAGCCCTGCCCCCTCAAGACAAGGCCAGCCGGCCTTTGTTTTAAGAAAGCCACCGACATTCCCCCCCCCTCCCCCCCCCACACCATCCAGCATCCCTCAGAATGGACCTATTCAAGCCAAGTAGCTGTGACGATTCACATCCCTGAACTCAAAAATGCCAAGGCCAGCCGTTCTGTTAGGACCTAAGACATCACAAAATGGCAAGCAGGTTTCCAGATTGCACAGAACTCTTCTTCATGCCAGATGATTTGGGCTTTTTTTGGGGGGGGGGAAATCAGAAAAGAAAGAAGGGGAAGAGAGAAAAATAAATTCTAGGTATGGTAGAACTAAGTCTGTGGGCAGGGCCGGTCTTTGCCGATGGGCGCCAGGGGCAGTGACCCCAGGCCCTGCACTGTGAGGAGTGCCACCTACCCACAGCACTGTGAGGGGCCACACCTACCCAGGGGCTCGGGCAGCGGGGGCTTCTGCCCACCTCAGGTGGGGCAAGGAGTCCAATGTTCCCTCTAAGCTGTGGAGTCTTGTGAGCAAAAATTATACTTTGTGAGCTGCTGGCATTAAAGTTCTGAGCAAGCGATTTGGCTACTGCATAAATTAGTTTGCTCTGGGGCCCGCCTTCCTGAACGAAGACAAAAATGTCTGAGCTGTAGGCTAAAAAACGGTGAGCTAGCTCACACTAACTCAGCTTAGAGGGAACACTGGCAAGGACCATCCCTTGCTTAGCCCCGTGGGGGTGGGGTGGTGGTGGCAGCCAGTGTTCCCTTCTAAGCTGAGTTAGTGTGAGCTAGCTCACAGGTTTTTAGCCTCCAGCTCACACATTTTTGTGTTTGCTCAGGAAGGATGGGGCTCCAGAACAAACTAATTTATGTATTAGTCAAATCGGCCGCTCACCACTTTCATGCCAGTAGCTCACAAAGTAGCATTTTTTGCTCACACGGCTCTGCAGCTTAGAGGGAACATTGGTGGCAGCAGTGATTGCAAGGCCCCATCCTGCCTTTGTTTCCTAGGTCTCAGAACCACCGCTGATTACTGGGCTGGTCTTATGCTCAGAAATGCGCACACACCCACGATCTTGGCCCCCATTTTCTTAATTATTGTTTGTTGACTGTTTCTCTGAAGAAGCACTCGGGGCCACAGAAATGCTCCTTGGTTAATTTTTAAAGTTGGTCCTATTTAAAGATTATTGCACTTTTGGACTTCTCTCTCTCCCCCCCCCCCCTTCCTGGGAGCAGTGCAGCTACTTGCTGTTTTCACAGCCAGCCCACACATGTCAGTGGGCTATCGTGTTTGCTGGCTGCCGCTGCTCTTTCCCAGCATGCTGCTGGTTCAGCTGAGGGCCAACTCCTAATGCGGTCTGCAAAAGTCCTCCTCAGTTTTCATAAAGGTAAAGGTTCCCTTGCTCGAAAGCCAGTCGAATCCGACTCTAGGGTTGCGGTGCTCATCTCCGTTTTCAAGCCGAAGAGCCAGCGCTGTCCGAAGACGTTTCCGTGGTCATGTGGCCGGCTTGACTAAACACCAAGGCGCACGGAACGCTGTGACCTTCCCACCGAAGTGGTCCCTATTTATCTACTTGCAATTTCTTGCTTTTGAACTGCTAGGTTGGCAGTTTTCAGTTTTCATAGTGAGCCAGAAAAGGGGGTGGGTGGGGGATCTGCCGAAAGGGAAAGGGAGGCGTGTTGCCGTAGCCTTGGTCAAAGATGTCTACTCTTGTCTCTTTCCTTCAACCCCCCCCCCCCCATTATCGTTCCTGCTTACCAGCCCTGAGGGAAAACTCAACTGTACATCATTTTATTTTATGAATCCAGAATGTCTGTTCCTAGTGAAATATATAATTTCGGTACTGCCTTGTGGATTTTTGTTCTGAGGGGCTGAGGCAGCCCCAGCCGGTTGAAATAAACCAAAACACCGGTGGGAGGACTGAACTTTTTATTGGACACAACCACCAGGAGGGGCAATTCCCCATAACATTTGAGCTATGGTATGCTGGCGGTGGGCTGGGCTGAAACACTAAGTAGAAGAGGGGCCATGAGGAAGAGACCAAGCTGAAGTTCGACAGGTGAACCCTGATAATTCCATTTCACTTAAGGGGAGACTTGAAACCATCTTTTGCAGATGGGGTGGCACGAAACTGCCTTGTGCGACAAGACCTATCCTGTAGGGTGCTGGTTCTCTGTCTTTCCCTCTGGACCAAGGGGAAAGCTAGAGTGTGGTGGAGACCCAGGCAGGTGGCCGTCCAAGAGTCCTGGCAGACAGTGTTGCGTACATGATGGAGATGGGTTGAGGCTAGATCTCAGGTGTCTGCTTCTGGGCTACCCAAAGATGCCAGGGTCAAGAAGTTGCAGGCGGTGTACAAAGGTGTGGAAGTGCTCCACCGTCCATGGAGGCAGAGAAGACTGTGGGACCTCAGTTCCTCGGGCCGCGCTGCTGCTTAGGGGACTGGGAGAAATGAGAAGGGGGGTATCATTGATAGGTTCTTTTGGTTTCCCCCACCCCTGCCCCCCTCCCCGCCCCTGTAGCAACTACTCCATTGTCCCCCCCCACGATGTTTCAGGAAGCTCCTCCCCCATCTTGCCAGGGCCAACAACGGTTAGCCTCTTCCCCTCCCAGAATTCTTTTCTGCAGTGCCCATTAGCCAGGAACACATGACAGAACCCGCACCTACAGGAGGACATGGGAGCAAATACACTGGCCCTCATTGTGACTGGCACCTCCTTCTCAGAAAGAGGGTAGGCCTAGGGCATTGTGGTATCATTGGCCCACAGGGATATTAGAAGGACAGCCGCAAAAATGGGATATAGAGAACTCATTTCGATGATTACAGGGTTGCCAAACCGCAAATGCTGGTTTTGTTTATAAAGATGGCAAGTAGAAAATCTAGCACTAGTAAGGGCCACGATCGGCAACCAGACACACAGAAGCCTCGATCCGGTGCTGGAAAGACAACTGGTTCAATGACTGTTGGGAGGATTAATGGAAGGGCATGCCACAAACAAGGTGCCACAACCGAGAGGGCCCTGCCTGTAGAATTTCTGAACAGGAAGTGCCTTACAAGGGCAGGTCTTCTCACGAACGTTCCTCTTGGTTACCAGCATGTGCTGCTTCTCATCTTCCTTTCCCTGATCGCATCACATGTATTATAGCAGCCTTGAGACAAGGGCCAGAAAGGTGGTACAGAAATGTCACAAATATCATTGGGGTTGCCACCTCTGGGTGGGGAAATACCTGGATATTTTGGGGGTGGAGCCTGAGGGCGGGGTTTAGGGAGAGATTTCAAGAAGAAGAGGAGATTGGATGTATACCCCTGCCCTTCACTACCCAAAGGTGTCTCAGAGTGGCTTACAAACTCCTTTCCCTCCCCCTTCCCCACAACAGACACCCTGTGACGTAGGTGAGGCTGAGAGAGCTCTGACAGAAACGGCTCTTTTTCAAGGACAGCTCTTATCAGAACTATGGCTTGGCCAAGGTCATCCAGCCAGGTGCAAGTGGAGGAGTGGGGAATCAAACCTGATTCTCCCAGATTAGAGTCCGCACACTTAACCACTACTCCAAACTGGGGTATAATGCCATAGAGTCCACCTTCCAGAGTGGCCATTTCCTCCAGAGGAAATCATCTCTAATGCCTGGGGATCAGTTGTAATCAGTGTTCCCTCTAAGCTGAGTTAGTGTGAGCTAGCTCACAGTCTTTTAGTCTCCGGCTCACACATTTTTTTGTCTTAGCTCAGGGAGGTTGAGGCTCCAGAACAAGCTAACTTATGCAGGAGCCGAATCGCTCGCTCACAACTTTAATGCCAGGAGCTCACAAGGTACAATTTTTGCTCACAGGACTCCACAGCTTAGAGGGAACATTGGTTGTAATTGTGGGAGACCTCCAGCCACCACCTGGAGGTTGGCAACTCTAAATATCACAAAGGGACAGGGCTGTCTGAGTGGGCAGCCGTGACCACTGGCCCCTCTTCTCCTTTGCCAGTCAGGCTAGTTTGGCCCACTTGGGGCAACGCATCCCTCGACTCTGAGGGGTACTCACTGGATACGGGTGGGGTCGTTGAAGGTCAAGAGCACGTCTGTTCCATACTGGGGCAGGCGGAGCAGCGCCAGATGCAGTCTCACCTCGTTTTTGGCCTGCAGGCAAGAGGGCGGGTGGGAAAGTGTCAAAACCGCTGGGAACCACCCTGCACATCACACTTGTTGGGGAGACCCTCGCCTGCCTAGAAAGCCTGAAAATTATACATTAACTGCGGGATGCTCTGGGGGTTTTCTTAAACATAGAGATTGATGGGTAAAAAGATTTTAAAAATTAGCATAACCGACTATGTTCAAAGTAATACTAGCGATTAAGAATAATATTTATTCTTGTGGCACAGTGGGTATATCCCGCTGTCTTAACATCTGAACTGCGTTAGTTCGAGCCCCGGGCTGGTGTGAGCAGCCAGCCTGTTGTCCCCAGCTCATCGTCCACCCAGCGATTCGAAAGCTTCGGAGAGTAGATAAAATGGGAACCACTCCTTAGAGAGGGTGGGCACACCAATCTCCCTTGTGGGAGGGTGTTAGCTGACGGTCGGGACTTCCTGGTCGAGGTCGGAAAAAGGCGAAAGAACTTCTCGGCTACAAAAATCCCTGCAGTGGATGTCTCAGGCCAGGCGGTGGCAGTGTGGCGATGTGACATACGGGTCCTGAAGCCTGGTCGACAAGCAGCCGTTCGGAAAATGACTGAGCCAAGCCAGAAGACATTTCCACTGTGCAGTGACAGCGTGTGCAATTAAAAATGAATATATGTTGTCCTCCCTATCCCCTTTGAACATTGTTAGTCCCCTGTCTAATGTGTAACTGTACATCGCTTTGAGCCCACTGGGGAAAGCGATTAATAAATTGAAAGTATTATTATTATTATTGTTGTTGTTATGATCTCCTATTCTTGGGGTTTTAGTTACTAGTGGTTTTCTTTCCTTTCTCCCTAGTTGTAGTTTCCCCTTCCTAATTTTGGGTTATAGTCTGTAGTTTTTTGAAAAAAATCAATAAAAAATTTCCCTTAGGGGGATAAAAAAAGAAGAAGAGAGAAACTTCATTTCTGAAGAGAGGGGCCAAAGAGGAGAGAAGGCCTCAGAAAGCCAAAAGAAAGGCCTGCTACCTCAGGGTGTCAAGTGAGGCGCAAAGTGAAGACTGAGGCAGCCGTCTAAATGGAAGCCGCGTGAAATTGCCGTAGGCCCTCTATGCAAAAATAACAGGAAAGGGTGTATGTGTGTGTGTGTGGTAATCCCACGCCCCATTTAAATGAGGTTTGAGGTGAGGTGAACACAGCTGCCAGGACTCTCACTCTTGGAATCTGGGGTAAAAACGTGAGGGTTTGCAGCCCTGCCAGGTATTTCAAGTCAAAGGGGCTTCTGTGAGAAGGGGGAAGGAGAGGTCTGCTCCCCGCCCCCCCGAATGGGAATTGTGAGCGTAAATGAAGAATGTTAAGGTTCTCGGACAAGAATGGATCCTTGTGTCACTGGATATTGCACCCTCGTAATCATTCACCTCAGGGTTTTCCTCCCAATGGGCCGACATTCTTCTCTTCTCCTCTGTTTTATCCTCACGACAACCCTGCGAGACAGGTTAGGCTGAGAATGTGTCTGACGGGTGACCCAGGGTCACACAACGAGCTTCCACGGTGTTGTGTACTGACCCGGCCATGTGCACGATCTGGTTTCGGCCGGTTCGACATGCGGCCAAGCGAAGGGCCTGGGCTTTGCTCCTAAACGCAATAGCCAGTCGGATCCTAGTTCCCTGTCAATCGGGAACCTAGGATCCAAGGGAATAATCTAATCACTGTAAATAGACCATTCATGGGTGTGGGGTGTATGTGGGTGTGTTTTCCTTGGGACATATAAGCCGGCCTGCGAGCCGGCTACTTTGTCTTGTTCTTCTCCTAATAAAGTATGAGAGCTGAAGTCACTGAGTAAGTCTCAGTACTTTTCACACGGCAAAGTGGTGAGTCCAACACTCGAAGCGCGACACCGTGCCGGCTCGCACTGTAGCCAAGGATGTGTCAATCCAACCACAAACGACAAACAACCATCCCAACAAACTCCGATACCCACCTCTTCGTTGAATTTGGCTACCAGCTGGCAAGCCGTGAGGTTCCAGGCGCTGCTACAGCCTTCCAGCGCCAGGAGATGAGGCGCCAGCGACTCCTGGCTCAAAACCTCAGCGCCGCCAGAAGTGCCAACCACATCGTCAAAGTGATATCTGAAAAGGGGCAGGAGGAGAGACGGATAAACATCTGGCAGTCACAGAAAGAGACCCCAACGGCACCTATTTATGTATCGATTTATAGTCCATTATTCTCACATTATTCTCTCCTGCCAACCTAGCAGTTCGAAAGCAAGAAATTGCAAGTAGATAAATAGGTACCACTTCGGTGGGAAGGGAACAGCATTCCGTGCGCCTTGGTGTTTAGTCATGCCGGCCACATGACCACGGAAACGTCTTCGGACATTGCTGGCTCTTCGGCTTTGAAACGGAGATGAGCACCGCAACCCTAGAGTCGGATTCGACTGGCTTTCGAGCAAGGGAACCTTTACCTTTACCTTTTATTCTCACAGGGACTCACGGTGGATTACACACAGGGATTAGAAAATTTCCAGGAATTTTGAAGCTATGGGGGGGGGGGGAGTTTCAAAGGGGAATTGTGTTGGTCTGCAGGAGGAGAACCGGATTCGAGTCCAGGAGCACTTTAGAGACGAACAAGATCTTTGGGGGGGGGGGGGCTTTCGAGAATCAAAGCTCCCTTCATCACATAACAAATCTGACACAGGGACTTGAACCCGCCAGGAAAAAAGTGAAAATATTGTATGTGAGTTTTGTTTTGTTTTGTTTAAAAAACCAGCTCCACAAAATTTGCCAGTCATTATGTTGGAAAAATTCGGGGAGGGGGAGTCAGTGGAAAAACCATGCCCCCCGGCTTTCCCAAATGTTTTCCAAATCCTTGCATCTCTGCATCTGGTTAAATTCCCTGTTCAGAGGCAGTGCTATTCATAACCATCCCTTCATAGATCAATCTATGCACAGCGCTTTACAAGGCAGGTCCCGGCAGGCTGTAGAAAGCGCCAGCAAAAGTGAAGATGCTGGGGATTGAACCCAGGACCTCATACATGCAAAGCAGGCACTCTACCACTGAGCTACATCCCCCAGCTAGTCAAGTAGTAGCAATAGAACATTGGCTGCAATGTGACATGGTTACATGACAAAAAAAAAGTCCTGTGAGATCAAATCAAACATCCACCTCATCCTTCAGCCTGTTTCCTGCAGTGAGAAGTTTTCCTGGCTTCTGAAGGGAAGCTGCGGCAGCCATTTTGTAGCTGGCACCGCCTCTTGCAGCAGCCATCTTGCCACTGTGCCAGAATTCCAAAGGGGCCCACAGCCCTCATCTGGGCCTTTTAACTGGAGATGCCCAAGGTTGAACCCGGGGATCTTGTGTATGCCTAGCAGGGATGCTTTCACAGAGCCACAAACCCTCACTGAATAACACCCATGTTTATACACATCACTTGAAAAACACTTCTGAGTGTGTAAAACCGACTGTTAGGGATGCCCTGTAAATATTCAAAAGACAAAGAGCTGCATTTCAACGTTCCAGTCAATTGCCTCACGAAAGGGGAAACCTCTGGAAAAAGTGGAGATGCCGGGGATCGAACCCAGGACCTCATACATGCAAAGCATGCGCTCTACCACTGAGCTACATCCCCTTCCCAACCCAGCCTCTGCTTCCTGAAGTCTCCACCACCAGATCGAGATGTGGCCCTGACTCCTGGTACGCTTGCCACATTGACAAGTCATTGGACTTCGTGCTCTCGCCAACACAGGAAAATCCAGAGGCAAATTACTGCTGTGCCACAGCGACAGCGCACCATCCAGTGGTGTGTGGCCTGCAGCTCCTGTCTCCACTGGGTGGGTGGGGCATTAGCCAATCTAACAGCAGAAACGTCTGACAACAGGAACGCTAATTCAAGAATGCTTCTGCCACAAGCTCCATTTTGTCAGAGGTGCTGGACAATGTTCCCTCTAAGCTGCGGAGTCTTGCGAGCAAAAATCCTACTTTGTGAGCTGCTGGCATTCAAGCTGTGAGCGGGCGATTTGGCTACTGCATAAATTAGTTTGCTCTGGAGCCATCCTTCCTGAGCCGGAAGCTAAATGTGTGAGCTGGAGGCTAAAAAAATGTGAGCTAGCTCACACTAACTCAGCTTAGAGGGAACACTGGTGCTGGACTTGCAAAAGCTTTGGCCACAGTCGTTTAATTACTGTTTAAGGTGTTGTAAGAGCCTTCCTTCAGGGCCAGAAAAATAATGGAGAAGCCTGGGGATCGAACCCAGGACCTCATACATGCAAAGCATGCGCTCTACCACTGAGCTACACCCCCTCGCTGCTCCTTGAGCCCTAGAAAAATGTGCTGCAGTGTTGGCAAACACCTTGACAAAAGAATGAATGTGCCAGATCAGAGGTCCATCTGTTTTAGCATCCTGTTTCCATTACGGCTAGGCAAGACGCTTTGGGAAACATCCCAGGCAACAGACTTCAACCCTGACCGTTTTGACACACAAAATGCAAGGCAAACGCACCCTGGAACTAACTGCCTGTAAGGATGCCCAGTGAACATTCAACACACAAAAACCCCTGCATTTCTACACTCCAGCAGTTCTGCCTTGCAGGACAAATCACCCTCCAGCAAAAGTGGAGATGCTGGGGATCGAACCCAGGACCTCATACATGCGAAGCATGCGCTCTACCACTGAGCTACATCCCCGGTCGACAGACCAGACTCACAGGGTGGGAGTGTTGTCAAGGTGATCAGTAAAATTCATACCACAACTCCTAAATCCCCTATTTTTGGGGGGGCGGGGGGAATTACACATAGATAGATGGAAAGATATACCAGCTTAAAATTATACTAATACCTAATGGGGCACATGCAAACGCCGCACTGGGCTTCAGATTATCTTCAGCACATAGTTTTGCCTTTTAATGTGATACTGCGGTGTGCCATTTCGCAGGGCTATTTTTGGGCAGGAACGCACAGGAACGGAGTTCCGGCTGGCTCCCGAGTTGGCCACGCCCACCAGGAGCTCATTAGCATAACAGGCCACACCCAACAACAGAAAGTCATTAGGATTGGCTACATTAGAGGTGTGTGGCCTAACATGCAAAGGAGTCCCTGCTCCAAAAAAAGGCCCTGGGTTTTGACCACAAACAAGGTCAACAGAATAAGAAGCAAAAGGAGGGTGTGGCTGGATGACCACACTTCGGGTAACACATGGGTGTGGCCTAATATGCTAATGAGCTGTGGTGGCAGGGTGTGGCCTAATATGCTAATGAGTTCCTGCTGGGCTTTTTCTACAAAAAGAGCCCTGCTTCGTAAGTGTTTCTCCTTTGCGTGACGGAGGAAAGTGAAGCGGCTGGACGTGTGTGGCTGCGCTGCCCCTTCTATGATGACCTAAGATTTATATTTATTACAGCCATCTTCCAAAGAATCCCAGGAAGACTGGAGAAATGGGACACCCCCTTTCTTCTGGCAGACATTTAATCTGAAACCTTGGGACAGATTGGACAGATTCTATCTAGCTGCAGGAACCTACCGAGGTAAAGGGTTGACTTAGTGTCACACATTTGCCTCTTTATACCTCTTAACCGAAGATTGTGTGTATATTCGTATAACCACCCTGCTAACGTACTTTTTTTGCCCTGCCCTGGATGGCCCAGGCATGCCTCATCTTCTCAGACAGGTCAGCCCTGATTAGTAAGAACGGAAGAGAAGCCATGTTGGATCAGGCCAGTGGCCCATCCAGTCCCACGCTCAGTGGGCCCGGTTACACGGGCCGGATATCGGGGGGGCACACCACGGGAGTCTGGAGGCAGCCCGTGGCAAACGTTTACTAGTACCTTGGAGGTACTACTTTTTAAACTTGCGTTGTCGGCTGTAAGCCACGGGTGCGCTCCACTTCCCAGATGTTGGGGTGTGATCGCGCCCGGATAATCCGCCCACCATCTGTGCCTCTCCCATGGCAACTTTGCTGTGTGACTGAGGCCTGTGTCACACAGTGGCCAAAACCCAGGGGCCATCAGGAGACCCACCAGCAGGGCCAGAACTCTAGAAGCCCTCCCACTGTGGCCCCCCCAGCACTGAGAATACAGAGCATCACTGCCCCAGTCAGAGTGCTCCATCTATACCTTGTGGCTAATAGCCATTGGTGGACCTCTGCTCCATATGCTTATCCAGTCCCCTCTTGAAACTGTCTATGCTTGCAATTGCTGCCACCTCCTATGGCAGTGAATTCCAAATGTTAATTACTCTTTGGGTGAAGAAGGACTTGGATGGGAGACCAGTAAGAAAGTCCAAGGCTGCTATGCAGAAGCAGGCAATGCCAAACCACCTTTGTTTGTCTCTTGTCCATGGCCAGAATAGGGCTCTTTTTGTAGAAAAAGCCCAGCAGGAACTCATTAGCATAATAGGCCACACCCAACAGCAGAAACGCATTAGCATATTAGGCCACAGCCCTGACAGCACAGCTCATTAGCACATTAGGCCGCACCCCCATGTTACCAGAAGTGTGGTCATCCAGCCACGCCCACCTTTTGCTTCTTATTCTGTTGACCTTGTTTGTGGTCAAAACCCAGGGCCTTTTTTTTGTAGCAGGAACTCCTTTGCCTGTTAGGCCACACACCCCTAATGTAGCCAATCCTCATGAGTTCCTGCTGTTGGGTGTGGCCTATTATGCTAATGAGTTCCTGCTGGGCGTGGCCAACTTGGGAACCAGCCGGAACTCCATTCCTGTGCGTTCCTGCCCAAAAATAGCCCTGGCCAGAATAAACTATTGATCGATGCCTTCTAATGTAAAGTCATGACCAGAGGCTTTTGAGCATTGGAAGAGTGCACAAGGGGGGAACATCTTCAGGATCAGAGGGCAGAGAACGTGATTTGTAGGCACCTGGTTCAGACCCAGGCCCTTGCTTTTTTTTAGCCACGGAGCATCTGACCACATACCTGACAGCGGCTTCATCAGGCACCCCTGCCTGGTATTCCAGCAGTTCCACAATGATGCTCTGGTCTGTGCTGGGGTGGACAAAGACTTCCTGGTTGTTGGGCACCTGGCGCAACTCACTGAAAAGGACAGAGAGGGCAGGGAGAGGATCAGGCAAGCCAGGCAAGAAATCGAGGGGACGGCTTATGGTGCAATCTAAGAACCGTCCTGAGACAATGGAAAAAAGGAACAAAAATGTAAATAGAACAAAGTTGCCCATCGTCTATGTGGTTCCCACGAACTTGAGGATTTAGCTCACTATATTCCCTTTTGCCCATTGCAGTCTAGTCTGAGGGCTAAATTTTTAGCAGGTATTTTATCTGGTCTTAGTGCTTACCCAGTTGAGGAAAAAAATTCATTTTCGTTATCTCACATTGATGCGTATCTCTCTGTCATGATCTGGGCTGTGCCACCAGAGGCCTACTAGGCCCAAGGAGCCTGGCTAGCAGTAGGTGAGGCTGGGCCTACAACTCCCAGAAGCCCCTGAGAGGTTTTGGAGCCAAAATTGACCAATAGGGAAGAAGAGGGCTGGGGAACAAAAGAGCTGGTGCCAGAGCAAAGGCTGTTCTTTCTTCCAGAGGGCAGAGCCAGAAGGAAGACTGCTGCAGGAAGAAACCTTCATCCTGAGGGAAGGGTGAGTAATCTAGTGTCACTTGGAATAGTGAGCTAGGGACAGAACGAGCTCCCCAAGGAGATTAGAGCTCTACAGGACCTCCAGCAGTTCCGTAGAGCTGTGAAAACTGAGCTGTTTCACCAAGCGTTCAAATAAGAACTGACTGCACCCATTGGGTCGCACTAGCACTTTACCATAGGATGCCGCCATATTTACTTAGTTTTATTGTATTTATTGTATTTTATATTTTGTATTTGCTATTTTTAATTGTATGTTGTTTTAAACTGTTGCAAGCCGCCCTGAGCCGCCTTGGCGGGAGGGCAGGGTAGAAATCCAATAAATAAATAAATAAATATTTAGATGCATTAGGGCATTTGATTTCTTTTCTTTTCACCCACTTACTGTTATAATTCTGCACCTTGTTGTTTGACCTCCTATACAATCAACTGTTTTCATTGTTCACTCTGCCTGGTCCTCACGCCTATTATTCGGCCAAAAGGGAGGTCTGAAGGTCTTGGGAGGGTGCTCTGGGCCTTCTCAAGGGAGCCTGGAACCAGCGTGGTGGCAGCGTCAGGTGACACTCCACCTGAGCCATGACAGTCTCTTATAAAGTTTCATTATTTGCCCTTGCTGCAAAGAATATACGTTCCGAGGCAGCATTGGGAAGGGGCACGTATTAAATTAGTCCTATTCAGGGCTATTTTTGGGTAGGAATGCACAGGAATGGAGTTCCGGCTGGCTCCTGAGTTGGCCACGCCCAGCAGGAACTCATTAGCATAATAGGCCACACCCAACAGCAGGAACTCATTAGGATTGGCTACATTAGGGGTGTGTGGCCTAACATGCAAAGAAGTTCCTGCAACAAAAAAAGCCCTGTGTTTTGACCACAAACAAGGTAAAGAGAATAACAAGAAAAGGTGGGTGTGGCTGGATAACCACAGTTCTGGTAACATGGGGGTGCGGCCTAATGTGCTAACGAGCTGTGCTGTCAGGGGTGTGGCCTAATATGCTAATGAGTTTCTGCTGTTGGGTGTGGCCTATTATGCTAATGAGTTCCTGCTGGGCTTTTTCTACAAAAAGAGCCCTGGATTTGTTCACAATTTGTGTTTTGTAACTTTGTAACAGCCAATGGCTAATTACACTACACTAAATTGAAACTGAAATAGAACAAAGTTTGAGTCCAGCGGCACCTTTAAGACCAACTTCGTCCTACTGCTTCAGACCAACACAGCTACCCACCTGGAAAAATATAAATACTAGTCTTTCTAAGTATTTGATTGGTCAACAGCACCATCCTAAGTAGATGTTCCGAGGCACTCTGGGTTGGGACATTCCTGGAGGTTTGTTGGGGGGTGGGGCCTGAGGAGGGCAGGGTTTGCGGAGAGGAGAGACTTCAGCGGGGCATAATGCCATAGAGTTACAGTTGCCAGCCTACAGGTGAGTCTAGTAACAAATAAATATACACTGCAAAACTAATGTGTTCCATTGATGGTCATCATTTAGTAAAGTGCATCGTGTATCATTATTTCATCCTAGTCAGGGATAAATATTCATTACGTTCAATAAGCAGTAACATTCAGTACATACAGATTGCTAACTACCAGACAATTTTGCATCAGTGTTTCAAAAGTCAAGCCCCAATGGGAGTTTCTAGAATTATAAACCCGCTTCTCCTTGCATGAAGTCTTCCAAAAAGGGGGACAGCCTTCTTAACAGTTGTACGGATGCTTTTTGCCGGTCCTACAAAAGACACATTGTGCAGGTAACATTCATGGACGGCGTACTCCTGTCATTCTCAAAGCTGCAACTAGACTCTCCTAACGCTGCAGCTCAGGTTGTTTCAGCCTACAGGTGAGGCCTGGAGATCAACTGCTACTATACCCGATCATCCGACAATAGAGATCAGCTCCCCTGGAGAAAATGGCTGCTTTGGAAGGCGGACTCTGTGGCACTGTATCCTGCTGAGGTCCCTCCCCTTCCCAACCCCCCCTCCCCAGGCTCTACCCCGCCCCCAATCTCCAGGAGTCTCCCAATCCAGAACTGGTCATCCTACATAGAGTCTGACCTCTGAAGCAGTCTTTTTCTCCAAGGGAAATGATTTCTGTTGTCTGCATATCAGTTACAACTCGGGGGGGGGGGGATCTCTGGGCCCCACCTGGAGGCTGGCAACCATAACAGTGATACCTACGCCCAACTGGGGAGTAAAACCTGGCTGCTTGACAAGGCAGCCGGAAGAACCTTTTTTTAAAATTATTATTATAATATTTTTTCCAGAAATTTTTATTTTCAGTTTTACAAATCAGACATTTCACCCGTATTGCTTACATATATAGTAGAGCCATTAAACACTTAACAAATCTTCTAACCATTTATACACCTTTAACCATCTCTTCGTATGTACCTTCTCATTTTGGTCTTGTGGTGTCAAACTCAAATTATCCATTTGTGCTCATTCTAATCACTTCAACGTTAGTTCTTCTCTAGAGGGTATTATTTCAGATTTCCAACTTTCAGCCAGTAATAGTCGAGCAGCAGCCGGAAGAACCTTGATGCTATCCTTTGTTCACAGGGGACAAGGGACAGACTCTAACTTCCGAGTTCCAAACTGGCCCTTAACTTTCCAAAGGTTTGAACAAATTTAAGAGTCCAGCGGGGCACCTTTAAGACCAACAAAGGTTTATTTCAAGGTATGAGCTTCCGTGTGCAAGGCACACTTTTTCAAATACAATGGAATGGGAGGGAAGGCTCAAACTTATAGACGGGCTGAACAGCAAACTAACATGCAACACGATGAAGATGTTTTAAGAGATGCGAAAACAGAATGAAATGCCAAGCTAAGGTTATAAGGTCAACAGTTGTAAAGCAATGAATACGTCAAAATAAGTCTGAGTCTCTCTGTTCACTCCAAACGTTCATTTGTTAACTTTAGGGGGTAGGAGAATCCGGCAACCCCATAGCTCAAAATGCTTCCGGTCATTCCTAAGGGCTGGCAATACCTGACATCCAGACTTCCAGGGGGGAGGAAGGCAGAAAAGGCCCCCCCAAAGAGCGGCCGCTGTTGCTGCTCCTGTCCCGCCACCTCCATCGCCCCCACCTGCAAGGCAAGGACAAAAAAAAGGGGGAAATGGGTTTTACAAAGCATTTGAAATGCAAACCGTGTTCAGATAAGGAGTTTTCGGGAACTGGGTTATGTTCCCTCTAAGCTGTGGAGTCCTTTGAGCAAAAATTCTACTTTGTGAGCTACTGGCATTAAAGTTGTGAGCAGGTGATTTGGTTACTGCATAAACTAGCTTGCTCTGGAGCCATCCTTCCTGAGCTAAGACAACAACGTGTGAGCCGGAGGCTAAAAAACTGTGAGCTAGCTCACACTAACTCAGCTTAGAAGGAACACTGGTTGGGATCCAGCCACGTTTTCCACCGACACAAAAGGGGGTTCCCATTTTGACATCAAAAAGGTTGTACTGGGGGATCCAGGGACCTGCATAGACAGAAGCCATGGGGCATGGGAAGGAACTGGCAAAAAGCCGGCTGGAGCCAACCCATGGGCAGTGTTCCCTCCAAGCTGAGTTAGTGTGAGCTAGGTCACAGTTTTTTTTAGTCTCCAGCTCACAGATATTTGTCTCAGCTCAGGAAGGATGGCTCCAGGGCAAACTAATTTATGCAGGAGCCAAACCGCTCGCTCACAACTTTCATGCCAGAAGCTCACAAAGGAGAATTTTTGCTCAGAAGACTTCACAGCATATAGGGAACATTGCATGGGCTTCATTTTCGGGACAGAAACAACGATATCACAGTGTCCAACGACTGCAGGGATGCAGCCTTCTAAACAACTGAAAGTATAAGCACTCTACACAAGTTCAGAGGCACTGTTCCTTTACAAATCCCAAGGCCGAGTCCTAAGTAGGGAGGCTGGAAACCTAGTAACTAACCCTCCTCAGCCAAATTCGAGTTGCAAAGGCACAGAGAGACTCTCTCCCAAAATGCACACATTCTGGGACAGAAAGGTGAAGTCCGATGAGTGACCATCTGGTAGAGAAGCAGGTGGACTGCAGGAAACTCCAGGTTGTCCAGCATCCAGGTGCTCACAGTGAGCAGCCAAATGCCCCCCCACCCCCAAAAGACAGCAAACAGGCCAAGAAAAGAACAGTTCTCCCCCGCTGCTTACTCGCCAATAATTATTGCTCGGAGGTATATTGCCCCTGATCATGGAGGCTCTATTTGGCCGCTGGCAGATCTGTCCTCCGTGAATCTGCCAAGTGTCCTTTTAAAACCATGAAACGTATCTACTGGCAGCGCATTCCGTAAGTCGTGTAAAGCAATTTTTGGGATAAGGGTTGGTAGGAAGAGTTTGGGGAGGAGACGGCGGCTGAATTTAAAGGAAAAATGCAAGCGCAACAGCGCCTCCTAAGGGACTCCTCTAATATGCAAAGGGGCAGGTTTAGTCGATGTATACGCCGAAGGAGAAAAAAAATCCTCGTTTAACTATTATGTCACGTAAGAGGGAATTCGAGGAGCCCTGCAAGGAAAGCACCGCCCAGCATAGAGGAGGAGGCATAAAGGCAACTGTTTCCCCCCCAGCGGCTGTTATTCAGAGGTAGACTGCCCCTGACCATGGAGGATCGATTGAGTCCTTACGGTGAACAGCCATTAATGGACCTACGCACCCAGTCCGATCGCCGGACCTTTCCGCAAGCCTTTTTCTCAACCCTACCTGAGCGCGCTGCTACTTCCCCTTTAAATGGTCCCCGACTGAACGCGAGGACCGCCCTA